AGACCGCTCGGGGGGTTTCTCTTTTCCTAGTCGGCTTCTCCTCCCCCTAAATCCATCACAGTAGGATGGGGTCTAATCTCCAAAATGTATATTACTCCCATACTTGCCAACCTTGAGACCTCAGAAATCGGGAGCATTTCAAAACCACCGCGGGGGGGTGGGGGGGTCGCTGGAGTTGTATTAGATTCACATTAACATGCTTATTGTAGTTGTAAGTGCACTGTCTTGATGGAGCATTATGTGTAGGCTGGAAAGGAGTGAGCAGAGGGTAGAGTTGTCGATTCTTGTGACTATCTTCCACACCCTCTCAGACTTTCAGTTGCGCGTGCTGCTAAAGAGACGTGTTACCATGGAAACCAAACAATGGTGTAGCTGTATTAAAGTCCGAGTGGAAACAGTCCTGAGTAAATCTGATTTTGTCAGAAATCGGGAGAAATATGACCCCGGGAGGAAACCGGGAGAGGGCAATGAAATCGGGAGTCTCCCGCGAAAATCGGGAGGGTTGACAAGTATGATTACTCCTCGGGCAATAAATATACTATCAGATTTACGGAATAAGTCTCTCCTGATTTAAATAGTTTTACGGTCATTAAAATGTACGTGAAGAGTCTACAATCTTTACATTTAGTTGTAAAGATATATTGACCAGCTTCAAATCCATGTTTAAACTGTAAAGCCCTTAAAGTAGTGTAAAAGTGATCAGTAATAGAGATTATATGTTTGTGCAGGACACTGTAGTCTCATTAATACAGAATAATAAATGCAGCCACATAGGAACCTTAATACCAGGCTCTCCTTCACGTCCTCCCTCTCCAGATTTTCCCATCTCTCCCTGCAACGTATATAAAAACAACAAGAGTTAATGGATTAAACACAATGATTAGCATGTAAAATAAGCTTAATATCCTCTCATGCATACTCACAATGGGACCTGGGAATCCAGAAAATCCTTCTCGACCTTCCCGACCCTTTGGCAGGAATAAATATCACGTAATAAAACTCTTTGATGTTTCATTTGAGATATTTATATATTTAAATACAAACAAAAGTGAATTAATAATAATCCATCTTTGTCGCACCTTGTCGCCTCGGGGTCCAGACACTCCTTGAACACCGATTGGCCCTCGATCTCCCTACAAAAAAACATGTATAAATTCACACACATGCGTACTTTCACACACATTTAATTTCGTAATGACAGAAAAAGTAATGATTCTTTCAACTTTTTGGGAAACCCACCTTAAGTCCGTCTTTCCCCTGCTTGCCCTGCTCTCCCATGATGCCTTCAAGGCCCTAAAGGTGGTAGAAATACTCACTTAAATAAAGGTAATGATAAGAAAGCGTAGTAATACTCAAGCAAAGGACAGCTAAATTACGCGATCCTAGAGTCTGTGGGGGCCCTAGGCAAACATTCACTGGGGGCCCCTCGAACCAGCTTTCATCACCATCGGTGGCGCCCCAACACACTCTTCCCCCCCCCAGAGCGGAGCAAGGTAACGAAACTTAAAATAAGAAGCAGCATTTTACGGCGCGCTATGCATGGGGCCCCCTTGAGGGGGTTTCCCGACATGTCGTTGCAGTAAATTAAAGTGTGTTTCCTGTTGTCGTTGCTGTGGACCTTCTTAATCTACCTTCTTTGGGGGGCCCC